TTTGTGATTGGACCTTTATCCCTCATCATTCTCCTATCATCTCATTATTCACACTTTAAGTCGTCGCAACCTTGTCATACTGCGGGATACAGCTGGAAAAAAGAGCTGATCCTGGGAAAATTACACACGTTAATCGCGTAGCGTGGTGATCAGTAATGGCCTATACGCAAATAATAATAATAATAATAATAATAATAATAAATTATTATTATTGGTGATAATGAGGAAGTGAAGAATGAGAATAACAAGGATATAAATAAAATGGGATATGAAATGACGTTTCAACACACTGTCTCCTTTCTAGCCCCTTAGCCACTTTAACTCTTTTCGTCGTCACTGCGCATGTGAAAAGCTGTTCAGTGCTGTGGCGCTAGGCACTGCTTGGCCACAAAACCCAGATGCAGGAGGCGCGTCGACGTCGCCTGCGACTCGCGAAGCGGCGCTGCAGGCGGCGCAGGTGTCGCCACGCCGTTCCGGCCCGCGGCGTCGTCTGCCGCGCAGCTCCTTGCACTCATTTAGAGAACGCCGCCCCACCGCGTCAACTGCGCATGTCCACATTAACCCGGAGAAACTAAGCGACGCTTAGACAAGGCTTCTCAAATTTTTATAATCATAATTTAAGTGTGAAATACATATATTATATACGAGTAAATATTTAATACTTATATTATATATGTATATGTACGTGAATATTTATATATATGATTTACAAATTTTAGATACCGGTACGCGCCCCCAAATAATCATTAATTTAATAGAAATAGTTATCATTATAATATAATTTAATAATATAATAGGGAAGACAGTATAGAGTATATAATGATATATTACATTTTTTTACAAATTATTTTATTGGATTCATAGAAATGATACAGTTACGAGGAAAATTAATGTTGATTTTACGAAAGTTGGTCGGACAAGAAAAAGACATTTGCCTCGTGTTTGTCCTATCAATTTTGTTCCGGAAGTACCGGAACGCCGTTCCGCCCGCATCCCATCAGAAATCAAGGAATCAAGTTGGAAGAGCTGTCATAGGCCAAGTAGCTGTATTGTAGTTTTAGTATGCATAATATTATTTCACTATAAGATATTTTTCCCGACGAATTTGGTTATTCATAACATTTCATGATCAGTGTTTTATTGGTTCACACGATTAGCAGTCTTACTGGTTCCTTGATTGGGGGCAAGAACCTTGGCGACTCGTGGAACACGAGGGTGAGGACAGTCGACATTGCTCAGGATACATCATTCTGTAAAAACCGTGTTTTTTTGTCATCAATTTTTTATTCTTACTTTGTGTTAATCATTTAATCTACATATTCATTTCTAGAAAACAATGTCTAATCACATAGTATTCACATTGATATTTTAGAACTTCTCAAAGCACGAACCTTTTATTTTAAACCCTAAATGGTGTTATAAAATGAATTTTTTTATTCTTAGTTAATACACAATAATGTGTAATAAAATGCCACGTTTAAATAGTGAGGTGTAATTAATTATCATGTTTCGAGAATAGAGTAAATGGAAATATCAACTTATCAGTTACTCGACTGATATTCAAATATAAAGTCAAAAGACGGAGGGAATATTGAAATTACGAGTGCATTCAGGATCCAATTGCGTACTTTTTCTGTGCCTCTGTAATTATTGTTTTTACTGTATTATTGTAATTATTTTAATATCCATTATGAAACATTCACAGTTACTTTTCATTTTGTCTTCTCCAGAACTTGCAGCATCTTCAAGAGAGCGTGACTAAAAAAAACTTGTATAAACTTTCCCTAGCAGTTAAAACACTACTGAGAAACATCAGGCTAATTTTTTTAAGACCCTAAAAAGAGCTCTATAAAATGATCACAATCGATATTTTGTTCTTTTGACAACTATTATAATCCAACCTCATTTCAGTCTTCATAAATTATTGTTAGAAAGTGAAAGGTTTATTAAATACCCATCTTATAATCGTACCAACATTTTTTTAATAAGACGTTTAATCAAAGAATGAGATCCGCAGGTCTCAGATAACGCCAGTATTGTAATTAACATCTTGTATTTTAAACGCTTAACTGTGTGCGATGAAATGTGCTAATGCCGAGATGAGATTATCACTATTATCGCATGAACTTATACTAGTATCGAAGTAATTTGTGTGATTCTATTATTTTCTTAGACAAGTTTTTGATTTTTGTAAAAAGTAATTTATTTATTTATCAAGAACTTCTTGACGATGAAGCTTCTGAAATAAACTCGAATTCATTAATTGGCAGCATTTCTAACGAATAGAGTTCTAAATTAGAACTTCTAATAAAATGAATGGACATAATTTAAAGGCATAACCTTTGATTAAACAATGAGAGTTATCCAGTCTATAATCATTATTTGTTTCATCTCTACTTTTCATAGTTATTAAAACAAAGCGCCATATTTACTCGTCATATTTTTCGAAAACTTCATGTTTTTTCTCGCATGACGGCACTGGGCAAAAACATATTTTTTATCACTATTCTCTGCAGACAAGAGAAAATGGGGACTTAATGTTCACGTAACGGAACGCAATATCCCTTTTTCATACGATCGTAGAAGGAATATATTTATATTTTGGAAAATGGTATTCCCCGTTTCGTTAGAGCATACGAGAATCGTTTTGTCAATTATTTCTGTCTTTATATTTTTTTCGCAAAGCTTTTTTCATGCGGAGTTTCGTATATTATAATATAGTAAAAATACAACACAATAAAAAGCAATGCAGGGACTTTCAAACACACTAAAGCACAAATCATTTATATTTTCCCTTACATAATATTGAAAAAGAGATCATCTAGAAATTAAATAAGAAACTTTTCTAAATTTTGCGCAAACATTACGTTCTTACCAGAAATACTTGGCGGATTATATTAAAAGATCGTGCTACTGTAATAATGCCACTGAGCATCGTTTAGGAGTATAACGTGAAAGTAATTTGACGTGATTTATACTGCTCGTAGTTATCACCAGGTTAAATTCGTCATTCGCACTGATCAAGTTCAAACGAGATAGGAAAGTATATTCATTTTTGTGACAAAAGTAGTAAAGTGTCGAGTTCTTGGAGTGAATTTCAAGTTGTATTTTGATTGTACGAGTGGTGTACAACTTAATGAAGTAGCTACTTAAATCGTAGATCATCGCATAGAAGGTAAACATGATAAAATCTAAAACAAACTTGCGTGCGCAATAGCGTCTAAACGCCTCGTGCTGCGTATGGTCGCAGGCGCGCTTTACTTGTCTGGAAATGGAGGCAGTGCAAATCTCTGCAGCGCAGCCCCGCTGCCCCTCTTCTCCTCGAGACAATCCAGCACCTGCCCCTTCCCATTCCCCTCCCCCTTTCCCCTCCACGTTGCCATCGCCACCCGCCGCCCCTCCGCCTGCCGCGGCGATGAAGGCGCTTCTCACTTTCTGGCCGAGTTGAGTTACGTCGCAGTCCTCGGGGCGGATACTATCGCGAACGAGAACTTGGCTGATTTGGTCAAGTGATGATGTAAATTTGATGTTTCCCGGTACTGGTCAACTGCTATGTGTTGGTAGTCCCGTTAGGCCGTGGTAGGGATTTTTTTACGGTTGGATGTGTGGCTGTGTGATATCGTTGTCCCGGCGGTTTTAGGGTAGGTGAGTCCGGCGCAGAATAGGTGAGAGATAGGTCGTGTGTGTGGGAGCTAATCTCGGCTGGTAGATCAAGATGAGCAAGGGTAATGTCGATTGGACGAGTATTGTTCTATATACAACTCAACTCTTTAGCGAAGATTATATCAGGAAATTGAATGTTTTTTTTGACTGGTTCGTGAAATCTATATCGAGAGCTGTTTAGAGATATTGTTTTGTTTGTTTACATATGCAGGGTCATATTTTGAATGTTCGGGGGGGGATCTTAAGACCGCTGGTCGAGGGATAGGCTGTAGCAACTGATGACGTAATGCCTCACATCAGGGTGTGCGAAAACAATAGTCCGCCACCAGGCAGCCGCAGGCACGGAGCCACGCGAATAATTAAGTTCGGTTCTGAAGACGGGGGGGGAGTCGGAGAGGATGGAGGTTGCACAGGAACAAGAGCATAAAATTTGTGTTGACATTTCCCTAGCATTTCGCGGGCACGGTGCTCTGGTTTCAGTTTGGTGGGGACTTGAACCACTCAGCTTCTCTCTTCTGTCAATCTTCTTCTTCTTTGCGACTTCATTATTTTTTTTCACTTCTCCGTTCTTGACAGGTCCCAGTTGCCTTCGCTCTCAACAGAGTGCAACTGCTTTGTGCCTTTTTCTTTTCTTCCCCTGGCTCCTGCTTCTCCTTGCCTTACAACACCCAGCCTTTCGACCATCTGATCTGTGTCCGTATCCGCTTGCGGCTTTCCTGCTACTTCGTCTCCTATCTTTCCGCTCCTGCGCTTTATGGATCACGTTCTCTCCTTTGTCCGGCCTCTTCATGTCCCCCTTCTCCGCTCTCCTCCCTTTTGCGCTCGCATCCTGCTTCGCTTCACCTTCGACTCCCATTTCCCTGTCGCCGCTGCTCACGCCGGTCCGGTCGCCTTCCGGTCATCACGTTCCCCGTGCGTGCGCCGCGCTGCGCGCCTCGATCGGGCGAAGAAAGTGCGAGGAGAAGCACGTTTCGATTGCCAGCGGCCAGGGGGGTGGGGAAGGGGTGGCTGGCTGACCGCTGCGGATGGGGTGGGCCTTCCCTCTTCCCCCAGCCGCGCGCGCCGCGCCGCGCCGGCCGCGCCGGCCGCGCTGCCGTTCGCCGTGGGAAAGCAGGGAGAGGGCGGCCGAGTGATGTAACGAGCCGGAAGGTTCAGGTGCGCTGCAGTAGCCCGCGACATGGAGGAAGTAATTCCAAGATGGACTCTCTCGCCAAATGATTATTCGCGGTGAAGAGAGTTCTCTGATCTTATTCAAAGGATTTGGCGGTTTTCTAAATTCTCAGGCCAAAAGACGGAGATATTATTGGCAATATAAGTCTTGAATATACGGAGACTTCTTATTCAGCAGTTTTTAAGAGATGAATTATACTGACATAAATATGAGACTGAATTAAAGATGAAAAAATATTAAATGTTTGTTCCGTTTTAACGGTGCAATATGAGTTATGAACATTCTTTAAAATGTTTTTTTCGTAATAGATGATCATCGAAAACGAATTTTATTAAAACTATCTCCTAGCGAGAATATTAATTTCATGGCTTCATTTTTTTCTACATATGATGATTTATTACAGTAAAAGTCTGCTTTTAAATGTCGGAATCAATCGGAACAAAAAATAGTCGGTTTAGACAGGTTTCCATTTTATGGCATGGATGTTCATTAAGGGTGCTTCAAAAAAAGGCATCATCATATATTTAATGGACGCACGCCTTTACAATGTTCAATTAAAAAATTTGGGTTAAAATGCCCCCAAACAAACGAATTGAATGATCATTTAGAGGTGTACATCGATTCTTTTATAGTATTTTATAATAATTTAAAAAAGATTCGTCTAATGTATAATAGTGATATTCAGTTGATTGCAGTATAATTTTAAAACAAAATTTTATAGACAATGAATATAGACATGTGGAAGTATAATTTAATATATAAAAAGCTTGGTTTTAAAGGAATTTTAATTTCTTATGCATTTCTTAATAAAAGAATGAAATTGATAGAAACATGTAGAAGCCTCATAAATGTTGATTTTTTTTGTAACAAAATATCATTAAAATGACCAAACATGATGAACATTGTTCATTTAACGACACTTGTGATATTGATTGTTTACCGTTCTGAAACTAGTAAATTAATGTATTTACAGATAAAGTAAAGTACACATTACATGAATATATTATGATTATTAAGATAGATTTACATATAACGTATTTATGTAATAAATCACTAATGAACATTCTTCATTGACAGCTTCTGAGTTCCTCTTGCTTCCGTAAGTTTGACTTTTTCATCTGTTAGAGAATGTTAGACTTTTATGGTTTTCGCGTTGTTAAACTAGTTGTGAAACTCATAAAAATACTCACCACTTTCCTGCCTAATGGCTGAAATCTGACTGCTTGCTGACTCATTCAACGCACAATGCATCACAACCCAGAGCACTATGATTTTCTGATACCCTCGCATGGCCTTGAGTAATGCGTCTCTGTTCGAGGGGTTATGATTTTGAACGTGAGACAGGGAGAGGCGCGAATAGACGCCATGCACGTACACCTTCTCACGTTCAGAGATGAGGGAGATTTCCCTGCGACCTACGCTTTGAGAGACAAGTGTCGAATTCAACGCTGTCAGCTGAAGCCTCTCTCCTTCACAGTGCAGATGCCACGACTAAATCACGTGGGATAGAGAATTTATTAAATCAGACTAGCAGATGTATTCATTACATTAAGAATATCTCGCCTCTCTGCCAATCGTATTAAAAACGCAGGAATTCCGTCTCATCAAGATCTTCCTTTATCGTCCGTAGTTCTAAGTGAATCTAAACAACCTTGATTTCGTATTCAGGTTTAATAAAAGAAGTTAAAATTGTACAAATTTCATACGTTCATGTTAAAGTCAAAGATAGTTAAAATAGCTGTCCGACTGTAAGAGAGATATAATACATTTAAGAGGGGTTTTTAATTCAGAAGGTGGACTACATAGACGTTTAATTTATTTCAAATTATTGCTAAATACAACAAATCACAGAACCTCTTAATTCAACATAACACCAAAGAATATCAGGCAAACAATTTGCCACTCAATCACAGTCCTGCTCCTTGCCAAAAATTATTACACAAGGTTGAGTTTAAAAATAAAATACATCTGAAATAAAGTAATAAGTATAATTAAATATTAAAACATGATTCAAATCTCAGTGGTTTTCTAGAAAACTTCCAATTTTGTCGAACAAATTATTTCAAGCAACTGTTATGAAGCAATTATTCGTAGTGATTTTTCGAGCTCGCTTTGTTTCGAGCATACCTTGCCGTCTACAGCTTGCGTGTGTGCACGCGTTTCTGGGTTTGGAGTGAAAATAAGAGTGGAGTTGGGGGAAGTCGTCCATGTCCGTAGGAGTGCCGTGATTTGGAAGCAGGCTCGTGCGGGCACCTTTGGTTGCACCTGATGTATCTGAATACACACAGAGTATTACCCTCAATATTAAAATATTTTGTGGTTAGCATTGAAAATATAATAAAACAAAATATGTGGGCATTTGGTTCCTTATGGAGACTTTCTGCAAATACAATAAATAAAACAAAAAATTCAAAATCGACAAAATGGCGTAAGAAACTTAATCCTTTAATGCGTATTATATAAATAGTCCAATTTCTTTCACTTTCTCTCTGACGGCTTCCGGGTTCACAACCAGAGACTGAGGAAGACAAGTAGCATTCTATGAAGTAAAAAATATTTAACGCTCAGTGAAGGGTTGAGGGAGACGAAATTAGGAAGAAAGGCGGCAGGAAGTAGACAACTCGGTCACAGTCGGCTGCCTGTTTACAGCTCTTCGGTATGGCGTTTTCGCGATCGGAATCACTTACCCGTGTTGCCGTCACACTCCAGGTGCTGCGAAACCGGAGGCTTCCTGCTGGCAAAAGGAGCCGACGAGATTCAATATGCAGCACGAGTCGCAAATCCTGCGCCCCAGAGCACCATGTAGAGCGTACTTAGTTCTGCGCTAGTTCGCTTTTGAGAGAAATTCACCGGCTTCAGAGAAATTCGCCGAATTTAGGTTATGCATTCTCCTCTTTCACCTGTGTTATTGACGAATGAATGACAAAATGTTAAAACATTGATACGCATTTCTCAAATCTAATGTCCAGGTAGTGTTTTAACATTATGTAACTGTTCTAATATTTAATCTTTCGAAATTTGACGTGTTGGCTGAATTCTATTAATAGAAAAAATTCCTAATTTAGATTGATATTTGTTTTCAATTCCATGCTCTCAATAAAGACTCAAAATAAATACCAAAGCAATCTACAATATAAGTACTTTAGTATAATTAAATCATTTTAATTTCATTGTTTTTGGTCAAGAATGGACAAAAATGAAAAGGTGCAATCGTTCGAAATTCAGATATCGTTTCCCTAATTTGGACTTATTGTCTTCTAAGTTGGACCAAAAAATGCCCTAGAAATAATAAACAAAATAAAAACGAATTTGTTTCTTGAAAATAACATTAATACAATTTATCACCATATTAAAAAATTGTTAAATTGAGTGAAAGAAATTAGTTTTCTGGGGAAATTATAAACGTCAGCCCGCTCCTTAATTTAATGATTTTCACATCCCATTCTAATTACCAAGATTATATCTGCAAGCAATTGTTTTAATATATTGGACGTAAATTGCTTGTCAGTTTTAAAATATTCCTTTCTTGAAATCACTTTGTAGCACTAAGTAAATGAATCATAAGTTCTGCACTTTTTATTAGGTAAAAACTTTCTAATAGGCCACAAGTAAAACGTTAAGAACCAACATAATGACTAGTAGCGCTGAAATTATTGTACTCTAAAGAAAGATATCTTACTGAAATGAAACTTGGTTTTAACTATTTGCTCAAATTTCAATATTTTATCGAATACTTTTCATTTTAATTAACACATTAAAAACACAAGTCATTTAATTTTTATTTTCAAAATGAAATACTTTATTTCTTACGTTGTGATCAAGAAATGATTTAAAGCTCCTGATATCATGATATGACAAATTGCTCGTTCCAGGACTGTCAGATTCTTGAAAGTAATGAAAATGTTTCGTGAGACTTACTTTTATCTTTGTTGCGTGATGTTGAAGTTGTAAACACTGCGTGAGAGTGTAAAAAGCACATATTCTGCCAGAACTTCTACAGTCATCGAACGCTAAAGCAGGGCGTAAATCAAAGCCTCCTAATATGAGAGCACGGCACGAAAACGTTAAGAGAAGATCCCCAGAGTAGCTCGTAAAAGTGTTCTAAAATGTTACGGCGTCGTTCCGCTGTCCTCGGCGTCTTGCCATCGTGGCTGAAGTTCGCTGCCAGGGAATCGGGTTGCTGACATCGTCAAAGAAAGATTCATAAGCATCTTGTGCATTTCGGAGTTTATGATGCCAATGTTATGTAGGTGTCCATGAAATGGCGCATTTCATGTTTACAGAGAGTGAATTTTCTGCTGAAGTTTGAAAATTATTCATAAACGACGTGGCGTTATCCATATAGAGGCGTGAGGGTAAGCTAACAATTCTTTCAGGAGAGTTTGTGAAAGTGAAATGAATGGAAGGTTCAGAGAAGGTCGGAGATTTCAGCAGACGAAAAAGCACTATTTTCGAACGAAATTGTTTCTGGATAAAACTTGTGTTTCAGAAGGGAAATAAACGATTTTTGTAGATATTTGTGAGAAATGGAATACATATCTGGTATTTAGTATATAAACTTACAAATTTCCTATTCTAAGGTAACAAAATTTGACATTACATAAACATGCATTTGATTCCATAAATCTGCATTTGTGAAGTACAAATCTGCAAATGAGATAATAAAGAAACATAATATGGAAATTGTTAAATAATCCGGGTCCGCCAACTGCTAAGTCATTAGTCCCGTAAGTGTAGTGAATTCATTTCCTCGGGGGGGTGACCTTCTCTCCGTGGATGGCGAGATCCAGCACCGACCTACTTTCAGCTAGTGGTGCTTTCTGAAGGAGGTATCTTGCCGGCGGGGCACAGCCCCAGCCGGGGGAAGCTCTAAGGTCGCGACCGGTGTCCCGGGATGCGTGGTTGTGTAGTGTATTTCATTGTAATTATGTGTAATTAAGGGCGAGGATAGGGCAAGGGAGAGGGAGGAAATATCGCGCGCGGTCGGAGACACCACGAAAAACGACTGAGCAGAGCAGTCGGCTGCTACAGTTCTCCCCCAGACACGGACTGAATTCTCTCTAGCTGAGAAGTTAGTGTCGTAAGTCCTGCCACCGTTTGGACTCAAACCTTGGACCTCCCGATCAGAAGCACTGCAGTGACATTAGTTGATGCCCTAAGATATTGCAAAAAAATAATTATAGTAATGTAGTTGCTATTATGCAGCGAAGAGTTGAATTGCATTAAATTTCTTTAACTTTGCCTTTGCTCTTTGCCTTTGTTAATTAAATGAAACATTTCTCAACTATAATATTTTATGTTTCTCAGAATACATTAATTGCCTTTATAGATCATTTTCATTTTTATGTATTCAAATACACCACTTAATTTCATTCAAAACCGAATGCATTGTTTAATACTGACACAGAGTGTCTCACAAAGTGTTAAAAATATCTTATTTTAACACTGTACATTGTACTATACTTAAAAATGGATGGGTATATTTAATATATTTGAACAAATATGAAACCAATTAAAATTACTAGTGCCAAACTACCAATTAAATCACTGTACATGAAAAATTGAACGATACAAATTTGATATGTCCCCTAATCGAAGCTGGTGCCACTATTAACCATCTCACCATGTCTGTGCTTGTGTTTTCGCAGTGTACGGCAGCAACGGGCACGGCCACCACCACAACGGGCACGGCCACGGGCACGACCACGGCCATGGGCACGGCCACGGCCACGGCCATGGGCACGACCACGGGCACGAGCACGGGCACGAGCACGGCCACGGGCACGGCGGGCACGTGGGCGGCGGCGTGTGGAAGGGCGCGCCGATGGAGGAGGAGCTGGGCGACGGCTCGGCCGGCGGGGACTCGTGCCGCCTGTACTCGCCGTCGCTGCTGGTGCGCCGCCCGCCCGGAGACCTCGTCTACGTGTACGGCGGCCGCAAGCTGGCCCTGCCCGACGTCATGGGCCACGGCGACGCCTGCTGCTACAGGTGAGGCTCTTATCGTCTTGTATGAACGATTAGTGTTTCAATGATTAATAATATATAAAAATTAAAACTGGTTATAAGCCATACAAAACAAATAATGTGAGTAATTTTAACATTTGGAAAGGAAGATAGACAATAATGACACTAAATAAATATTACACTCGGTTTCAGGAAAAAATATTTCAATTGTCTAATAAATACAAGAGTGGCCATTTTTGTAAATCTAAACATAAAAAATACAGAATTTGAATGAGCATTTAATTACCTCCATGAATTTCTACATATATGGAAAATTAATTTCTACATAATTGATGTTCGTTTCAATTTTTCACACGGCTAATTGATTTTTAGAGTGTTAATGAAGAGTTTAGTAATTAAGTCTCCATTGCTCAATATGACCATTTCCTTCGCAGATATTGTTAAAGTTTTGATTAATCTAGTAGACACAGATCTTATAAACAGTGACGGCTCGCCAGATGAAGGTAAATTGCTAGTGCATCCCTATTTATTAGTATGCTTCATATTCGTTTTTCACGCCTAGAATTTATTTTGGTTTCCTTATTTCCTCTTCGATTTCTTCTTTTTGAATGCGCGTGTGCTTTTTGGTTCTGAGTCCTTTATTTTCTCGGAACTGTTCAAACTGGCTGGACCTCTCACGAAAATGAAGTTCCGTTCGGAAAATCTTTGAAAGCCAGTGATTGCTATGGCAAAGGCACGTCTGGTCTGTTTGGACTGTGCATTCCGAGGGTCTGTTTTGAGGTTACGATGAATTACTTCGTTTTCTTGAGACCCTTTTACAAAATCCTTGTGAGGATATATATGGCAAAGGAAGCATCAAGTGCCTCGCCGAACCCTCTAAGTGACGTGACGAGCCGGTGACAAGAGGTTCTGTCATTTTGCTTTGTTGAGGCACATACAGGATTTTTCTCAGTGGAGGGGGACAGGTATAGTGTCCAGGCGACTTGATGTTTTGTTATAAAGATTTTTTTATTTATGATGAATATAAAATATATTTTTCTTTGTTGACTCATAGTTAATATTTTTATCTGAAGCAATGACTTTGTTAGTATAGAGCATTAGCAAAATCTGTATTTTTAAAATGTATCATTGTTTTTTTGAGGGGGGGGGCTGAAGTCCCATGACCCCCCTTGAGTGCGCCACCGTTTCTGCGTCTCTCTTAATATAAACGAAACGCCACGAAAAACATAGTTTACCAGTACTTTCTTCGTTTGACAAGTCCCCACGTTTTTCAAACATACTAGATATGCGTATAATTTACATGAAGCTCGGTCCGATTAATTCGGGATTCCCATCCTCATTTGGGAGTGAACAGGGAGGGGACACATCGCCAAGGGAGCCTACAGGTGGGCCCTTGCAGCCCCCTCCGCTCCATTTGCGGCTGCGGCGGCGCCTAGGACCTCGTTAGCGCCGTGTGCCCCAAGGACGCGGTTAGCAGCGCGGCAGCTGAAGGAGTCGGCCTACTCGGGCAGCACATTTTCGTGAGCGGCACCGCTCGGAGCCACCAAGGAAGGCGGTAAAATCTTCCCCTAACAGTGCAGATTATTTTATATTACTTGCGGATCTACTAAACAGGTCAGAAACCTAAAAAAAAGCAGTTTAATAATCGTCAAAATTGCTACCAACTTTTCAATTCTCATTAAATTGAAATACTATTAAAATGTCTACTGTAGTTTAAACAGTACGGTTAACAATAGTATTACATACAGCGTTCACAACAAGACCTTCACCCTTGTGTTTGAACATGAAAAACTCACAAGTAATATGAAATCTTTCTTCTTTTGTTATTAATCAAATATCCTGTTCTAACAGCCTTCACCTATATCGTCTTCGATAATGCCATCGTTTATTTCATCATCACGTGTTTATATATTTTCTTAACGGTGGCCTGCTAGTGGCTTGTACTTGTGTGCTATTGGCTTGGCTAATGTCGATAACTTTCAGAATTTACATCCAAAACAATTAACTTTATATTTTTTCGCCACTAACAAATATTAAATGTCGAAAATATTCTATAAACCGGAGGTCATGAGTAGCATTTGAGAAGTTGACAACGAAACATCAGATTACATATAATTATAAGCTGAAAGATGCTTATAATTTTGTCTAAGATAACGCAAGCGTTTGATACACCTTCGCTGCTGGTTCGTCGCTGGTGATGCCAGCTTCTCTAAACTTGAGTACAATACGCCAATTTTCTTGAATTCCAAAATCTCTACCCTTCTCTTTTACCACTCATAGGCGAATTATAGAATAAAAGATAACTACAAGCGCGGTTGACAACATTTAATAAGAAATATTTCGAAAAAATACAAATAATAATTTTCTGTTTAAAAGTATTCGTTCTCGTATAAACGAAACTATTTGTTTCAGAAAACGAGCAAAAGATTTAATATGATAGCACTGATAACAAAGCAATGAAATAATTCGCAGTCTCACTCAAAGGTAAGTGAGGAGACCATGAAAACGTGCGCTGATCGCCCGCGAACTTTGATTCGGCGGTGGAGGGGGGGGGGTCCGCGCTGTTTTCTTTTTTCAAACTCGCCATTTGCAAGAGCGCCCAAGGCAGCCAGCTGTGCCACTGGTGGTTAGCGGTCGTGTGTTTGTGCACGCGCACCTCAACGCAAAGCGGGTTCCAGTGAGGCGGCATCCTGCCCTGTCGCGTGGCCGACTCCGCGGACGCTGGACGCCACGACAATGTTTTAACTGTGTTTCGCTCGGAACACAACACTCAAACTCTGTTTGCGAGAGGGGCGCCTGAAGTAGCGCAGTAGTACCACGGGACCCAATGTAGTTTTATGCGGGTTGCAATGTTTGTGACAAATAAACTAGTTTGTGAGTCATAAAGTCTTACGATTCATCTTCAAATATTTTCTTTGACACATTGTGTTTTCTATGCCTGAGGATGTGTGGTGAATTTAGGACCTCTGTTTGCCGGAATATTCATTCAATGAGTCTTTTTCACTTTTGTTTGTCGAAAAATATAACCTCTCTTGGAAATGGTGTAAAAGAATATGCATAGGTGAATAACGATTTTCAAATTTGCATAGGAACCGAAGGATTCGCCCAAAGAGTAAATATTCCTCTCAATATTGTGATGTTCAATTGAATTGACTTTCATAGGAAATGTTAAAGTATATTAGGGTTATCATTCTACTGAGGAGTTGAAAGATTTTTACTTTCTCGCACTTACTTCGTAGGAAGAGAAATTATATAATTGTGCGCCGGAAGAAGGCGAACTTTCATCAGAAAAACTCTTATTGTCAGGACCTGCTAACGTAAAAGTGAATATATCCTGTTGCTACTTGTAAATTACTTATTCTAACACGTGGTGTAGTCAGAATATATGTTTTATAAGTCCTTGATACCTAAAAATCTAAAATAATGAAAATTTTTGTCTGCCCTCACACCTGTAGTCACCTTTAGAACCTAAACCGCACAGCCGATTTCCTCCAATATTGATATTCTCCAATCGATTTAAACGAACTCAAAGTTTTTTTGATTAAACTCTGCTCACAATAGCGTAAGGGATGCTTAATAGTGCAGGTCCCATGTTCCCAGATTTTTCGAAAATTCAAAAGTGCAATTTTTAGGGGCGTCTCCCTAAAACTATAATATTGATGATATAGATTGTTGTCCCTAATGAAATGTGTTCCTTACAGACAGATCTTGAAATAAGGTTAGGTATAAGGTTTCAAAAATATGAGTAGTTTCCGCGTAATTGTACATAAAATATAGGCAAATTAATTTTTTTAAACAACTTTTTTCTCTAAAACTGCACGAAATTTTTTCTTTAAATTTTCTCCTCGTATATATCAAGGATAAACATGTGGTACTAACGCGATTTTCTGTAAACTCTGTATTTTCGAAAATTGCAAATTGACTTTCAAAATTACAAAATTGGAGGAGATTTTTTGCCTTAGTGAAAGTCTGTTCAAAAAATCAGCTCTTTAAAAAAGATCAAACATAGAGTTCTGAAAAAACGAGTATTTTTCGCGTAATTTTGACTTGAAATTAAAGCAATTTATTTAAAAAATCGTTTTCTGGAAAACCGCACCAATTTTTTTCCACGGATGGAAGGGGCACTTAAAAGAATGGCCATGGTCTAATTTTCGTTGAACTATGTGAACTTTCGATAATGGCAAATTTAGAAACAATGCGAGAAAGTATGTTCAGTTGTAGCATCTCTAATTATTTTAAAAGTTAATATTTTTTACTATTCAGCTAAAACTATATGTATTGGATTAAGAGTTTGAAACGTCATTTTTTATAACATATATTTCACATACACATCAAGAATCATAACGCAAAATATAGTGTTATAAATGTACATAGAAATTTTTCAGCTGCATTTCGTCTTTCGTATAAGAAATTTTATACAAATGTTTATGGTAACTTTTTTAAGTAGGCTTGCTGCATCAAAATCTTAAACATATGTACTGAGATGTATCGAACTTCTCAAATTTTAATCTAAAGGGTAGAGGGTAATTACGCCAGACATTGTGATCTTCCATTCTTGTATACTTTGTAAAACATCAACATTAAAGAAGCAAAATTCGTTTTTGAAAGCTTTCACCATTAATTACTACCTTCTGTTGAAAGTTGTCGATCGTATCATGAGACTGAATATCTGTTCAAAGCTCCATTGCTTTCATGAAACTGTTACCCTCAGTACGACTTTCTACAAGCTGCAAAAAGCAATTAAAATTACATTAATCGGGAGTCTATTGAATAATCTCTGAGCAAAGATGCATTGCAACAGTTTACAGCGAAAGTCTTGTAATCGATAAATCTTTATTTGCTTGAAGAACATTAAATGAAGTTATCTAGCGCAAATTTAGTTGGAAGACATCCAAAGAGGTAATGAACTCATCTGGTGCAGCTTTTCTTTTTATTCTTCCTCGTTAAAGAAACTTTTCGGATTTACAGCTCTGGATCTGCCTCTCCGTACTTATTTTTGTGAACAGAAACAACTCAGATATTTTCACTTTAAACAATAGGATATGAGTTTGAAATCTGCAGTCACTGAGTTTTCACAACTTCTGATTTAGATATCAGTTTTTTTTACATTGCCACTGAGAAACTCCACTCCGATTTTTAATTAACGTGTACTTATCAAAGGGGATTCACATTTCAACAACTTGCATACTAAAAACATTTTATTGAAGATACACCTTAGGTACACATCACATACACATACACGTCACGATATGAAGGTGCAGTTATTTCATTTATTAAAGACCTTGAGCTTTA